CTTTTCAAACACCAGAGGCTTAGGCTTTGATGATGTCCAGTTCATCAACTTTAAAAAAAATTGGAATATGTTTCTGATGTAGTATCTTTGCCCATCCCACGGCCGCAAAGATATTCTTCTATGTTTTCTTCTAGAAGCTGTATAGTTTAAAGCTTTATATTATGACCCACCTTAGTTAATTTCTGTATAAGATACAAGGTATAGATTGCATCTTATTTTCCTCGCATATGGCTGTCCAGTTGTTCTACCACCATTTATTGAAAGTGGTCTCTTCTGTCTCTACTAAATTATCTTTGGACTTTCAGAAACCAGTGGATCATAGCTTTGTGGCTGTTTCTGGACTCTGAGTGTCCATTGATCTGTACCTTGATTATTGTACCTTCCTTGGTTTAAAAAATTTTATACTATTAAAATAATTCATGTATGTAGTTTAAAAACTCAAGAAGTCTGTGAAAAACTCTCTTGAGTTTTTAATTTATATTCTTATTTTTTATTTCCAGGAATGTTTTTCAGTAGTTTGCAAATGTTCCTGTTTTAGGATTCCAGTGACTTGTCTCCCTGAGAGTAGTTTTTGTTTCGTTTCATTTTGTTTGGAAGTTTTCTTCTGCTCCCTACATTGTCTCAGATTTCTTTTTTTCTCCCCCACTTATGTGTGTCTCTGTGGGGATTCCGGATGTGCATCTCTATTAGAGAGTGACAATGAAAAGCTGAGTGCCTGCTCGGTGTATGGCAATGGGAGGGGCCTGTTGGCAAACGGGCTTCCCTGTAGGGCAGGCTTGCAGGGACTGGGTCTTTTTGTTGGGTGATCCCCAGATGTCAGTGTTGCAGGTCTTTTCTCCTGGGCTGAGCTGTTTAATTCCTCTACAGGTGGGAGTGGGGCACGGGCCTGACTGTCACTGTCCTGGGTGCCTGGTGAACAAGGGAGTGTTCACGAAATCCTGTTCCTAACCCTTGTCTGACTTCACCCCAAGCTGTGCCCTGTGACCCCATCCAGAGCTGCTGTCTGGATCATTTTCCACAGAGAGCAGACCTGTCTCTGCAGACCTGGGGAGGTCCTGTTTGTGGGGAGGCTGGCAGGGAAAGAGCTCGGACCTGCCAGCCTCTTCCGCAGACTTTAGCCCATCTTCCTATTCTCAGCCGAGCCTTGACACGTGTGTGGTGCCTCCAACTCCTGAGTCTTCCCAGGTTTTGAGGCCCAATGGGAATCACTTCTGTTGGCATCCTCTGATGACCCTTGGTCTCAGCTCATGTCACTCTGCTAAGTCTGTTCCCATTTGGCCAGCTGCTTTCCAATTTTGTCTGATCTGCTCTTCTACTCATTGTCCTGGGCAGGACAGAGAGAAAATGTTTCTCTTCCTCCCCTCCCCCTCCTCCATCTATCCCCTTCCCACCTTCCACCACTTGCCTCCCCTCCTCCGCCACCCCTTCCCAGTCTCATACGCCCTCCCATTTATCACCACCCCCTTCTTGCTGCTTGCTCTTTCCTCTATGTTTGGAGCTTTGTCTGCTGAAATACTGCAGGTAGACAGCCAGGATCTTTAGGCCCTGAGAAGAAACAACCCATGTAACCGAGAAGGGATTGGATGAGGAGTCAGGACACTGAGGCCTCTGCCTGCAAGTGTGATATGCCTTCTGCCTTCCTTGACTCTCCTTCCCCCCATCAACTATCCAAACCTGTAAGGGCTGCATCTTCACATGGCATGTACAGGCCTTGTGCATCCCAAGGCCTCCCATTTCTACCTACTCTGTGCCCTTCTCCCCCTGGCAGGCCCCCGAGCAGGCGTGGGGCCCTGGGTCCCTCTGGGTCTCTGGTTTGGCTGTTAGGGGTCCTGAGGGTTAGGCCATTAGGGTGATGGGTGGGCACCGCTCTGCACCAGGGGTGCCCAGAGTGTCCAGCCCCCCACCTTCCCTGCTAAGGCCCAGGCCCCATGCACAGCTGACGGGAGCTTGGCCTTTTGCTCTCTGTCTCAGGTTGTCTGTCCCATGGAAGGGGGGGACTCCTCTTCTGTTGTCCGCCATCACCCTCTTCCTGCCCTGTATTACTTTTTTTTTTTAACATCTATGACTCTTATTTCTGTTTCGTAAATAGGTTCTTTTGTATCATTTTTTTTAGATTCCGTGTATAAGTGCTATCATATAACATTTGTCTTTGTCTAACTCAGTTCATTCAGTGTGACAGTCTCTAGGTCCATCCATGTCACAGTAAATGGCATTATTTTGTTCTTTTTTATGGCTGAGTAATATTCTGTTGTATATATACACCATATCTTCTTTATCCAGTCCTCCTCCGTCAATGGACATTTTGGCTGCTTCCATGTCCTGGCTATTGTAAATAGTGCTGCATTAAAAAAAAAAAGCCTTCCATCAACTGGGTAGGAAAGGGGGACTCCCTGCACAACCTCACTCCTTCCTGCTGGTCTGAGCATCTCTCCAAGGACTCTATGCGGAGGCCACTCCAGATATTCAGCTGTCTCTTTTCGGGGTATTTGAACCCTGAAGAGGGAATGTGGCCACGTCCCTCTCTGTGGGCACACAGTGGTTTTCAAGACAATAGGAACATTGCTAAGGCCTTCTCTGTCCCCACTAGTCACCTCCCATACCCCCTTTCTCTCCCCCTCAGCCCCACAGCTCACCTCACTTATCCAGGGCTGGCTTTGGAGAGGGTCCGTTGTGATGTGGACGAGTAACGCTCATTGGTTGGTACTTCACTAAGCTCTTTTTAAAAAAATAATAGTTTTACTTATTTATTTATTTATTTTTGGCTGTGCTGTGTCTTCGTTGCTGGATGTGGGCTTTTTTGCTAGCATGTGGGCTTTCTCACATTCCAGTGGTCTCTCTCGTATGGGCTCTAGGGCGTGTCGGCTTCAGTCGTTGGGGTGGATGGACTCGGTAGCTGTGGTTCCCGGGCTCTCGAGCACAGGGTCGATGGTTGTGGTGCACAGACTTAGTTTCTCTGTGGCATATGGGATCTTCCCAGATCAGGTCCGCCTGTGCCTCCTGCACTGGCACGCAGATTCTTCACCACTGAGCCACCAGGGAGACCCCTAGAAAGCACTTTTGAGTGAATACTGAAAGTTGCGTGAGGTCAAGGGCAGCAGTGGGTGGAGAATGTTCCCATTTTACAGATGAGGAAACTGAGGGGCCCAGAGACCTCACGACTTGCCCAGGGTCTCACAGCCGGAAGAGCAGAACCTCGTCTTGACCCCAGGTCTCATGACTCCGAATCTGGCCGTCTGCCTTCCATGTCTCAGGGGCGAGTCCCAGGCTGCCTTCTCTCGTTCTGCCTGCTAATTACTGTTTTGGGGCTGTTGGGGTTCCTTGGTCTGGGGCCCCACGGGAGGGAGGTAATTACATCCTTGGAGTTGCCCTTAGTCAGCAGCTCCCGGCAGTCCCTCTGCCATAGCCCAGCTCTGACCTGTCTGTCCTTCCCCCTGCCCAGGCCAGTGACTCAGAGTTTGACTAGATTCTTGTTTTTGTCTCTTTGGTTGGTGCTTCTGTTGGCATCTGGCAGGCCCCTCCTCACAGTGTCCATAAATTCCTTTTTTTTTCCTCAGGAAAACAGGTGCCCTCAGTCGAATGGGGGCAGGGACAGAGAGCTTCAAATGCCTCTCCACCAGCCCTGCCCAGCTATCAGAAACGTCCTGCCCGCTGACCAGTGGGGTCCAAAGATGAGCCTTCTTGTAGGAAGGGCAGTACTGCCTTTGGTGGCTCTCTCTCTATATATAAGAGTATCCATCGCATCCACTCTTTTTTTGTGGTGGGGGGCATGCAACTCGGCTTGTGGGATCTTAGTTCCCCAACCAGGGATTGAACCTGGGCTCTCAGCAGTGGAAACAGGGGGGTCTAACCACTGGACCACCATAGAATTCCCCGTCTCACCCACTCTGGACTCTTCCACCACCCCTGCCCCCAGTCTGCTTGTCCCCACAGCCAGAATGTCTTACACACATGCACACACACACTCTTCCCACCGACACACCTCAGAGGGTTCCTGTGGCTCTTAGGAAGAAGGCAGAACCTCTCATCATGGAGTCTGAGACCCGGCAGAGGCACGCCTTCCTGCTGCCCCAGCCTCCCTCCTCTCTGGTCCCTCTGGCCTCCATCCTGGTCTCCCTCTTCACTGTGCTCTCCACCTTCTCAGAACCTTAGCACACGCTCCTCTCTCTACCTGCAATGTCCTCCTCCCAGCCCCCTTTGTCTGCGTATTTGCCTTTTAGACTTTCTGGTCAACCACCATCCCACCAGAGATGCCCTGTCTCACCCTTCAGTGAAGTATGGTCCCCAGGTCATATGCGCTCGCAGCTCCCTGCCCTTCGCCTGTCATTGTTGCTGACCTGATTAGTAGATTAATGTTGGCCTTGCATGGAAGCTCCGTGGAAGCACGGACTGCTTTGTGGCCTCTTTTCATCTCTTTCCCTCACCACTGTGTCCCTTGTGCCACACAAAGTAGGAACTCATGAAATACTTACTAGATAAAGCATTCCTTTTTTTTCCTTCTTCATCTTTGTAATTTGGCTGCACCAAGTCTTAGTTGTGGCATGCAGGACCTTTAGTTGATGTCCCTTCTGCCGCCCTCCTCCTCGGCGTCACTGTGGTCCTCATGCCGGCTCCTGGAGAACTCCCACCTTCTAGCTCAGCCCCGGCCCCTCTGCCCACCTCCGCCTGGCCTGGCCTGGCCTCTCCAGGGCGCAGTTCAGCGCCGTTCCCTTCAAGGTTGGGGAGGCTAGTCATCCCGCAGCCTGGTGGCTCCGGGGTCTGCTCTGCCGGCCCAGGAGCCCTCGGCCTGCCGGCTGGGCCTCTTCTTCTCCTGGACCCCTTCCCGCACGCCCAGAGCTCCTCTGATCTGCAGGCCCTCTGCCTGCGAGCCGGACAAGTGCTGGTTGGCGGGGGGGAGCTTTCTGAGCCTCTGCCAGGCGCCCAGGAGCTCGGCGGGCTGGACTTGGGGAGGAGGCAGGCCAGATCCCCCTCACTGTTTCTGCTCCCCCTGTCCATCCCGGCAGGTCCCTGGATGGCCGGCTGCAGGTGTCCCACCGGAAGGGGCTCCCCCATGTCATCTACTGCCGCCTGTGGCGATGGCCCGACCTGCACAGCCACCACGAGCTGCGGGCCATGGAGCTGTGTGAGTTCGCCTTCAACATGAAGAAGGACGAGGTCTGCGTGAATCCCTACCACTACCAGAGGGTAGAGACCCCAGGTACGGCCCCCTCTGTGGGGTCCGCAGGCGTCTGCCGGGCATCCTTCGCCGCCGCCTCTCCCCCTCCCCCTCCCTCGCCTCTGCTCCCTGGGGAGGGCCGCTGGTGCATTCGGGGCGCCGGGGCTTCAGCCCAGCGCGGCGTCCACGCTGAGCCCGTCCGCTCTCTCCTCTGCACAGTTCTACCTCCCGTGTTGGTGCCCCGCCACACAGAGATCCCGGCCGAGTTCCCCCCGCTGGACGACTACAGCCATTCCATCCCCGAAAACACTAACTTCCCTGCCGGCATCGAGCCCCAGAGCAATATTCCAGGTAGGCACCCTCGAGCCGTGAGGCCGGCCCCGTCACCCCATCTCCGCACACCCGCTGGCCCGAGGCCCCGGACTCAGCCCCGCGTCCCTGTGGGGAGAGGACCCGTGGCCTTGGCTCCGCGCTCACTAATGATGCTTTTCTTGGCATGGAGGCGCGGCGGCGTGACCCTTCCGCCCGGCCTCGGTGCAGTCATTTATTTTGGAAGCGGAAATAGCAAGGCGTGTTTCTCTCACCACCCTCTGGGCCCCGGGGCTTGAGTTCAGGCAGGATCCCCGAAGGTCTGGGGGGCTGCAGAGGCGGTGGGCTGAGCCGGGGCGTGTGGAGAACGGGGCCTGTAAGTAAGCCCCAGGAGGGTCCCAACCTGGGGGGGAGGTTTTACTCTAAAGGGAGAAGTGGGCTCTGCTGTTAGAGTGTAAATGTCTTTAGAAGCCCATCATTTACATGCAAATAATGTGTGAATCACCAGAACTCCAGGCGTCCAGGAGAACTGCTTGGCAGTGCTTGGCCAGACCCCGCACTAGGGTAGCTGGGGCAGAGATGGGCCGTGCTCCTTTCGGAGCCGTCTAGTTTGGAGTAGCCTTTGGCCCCGAGTGAGCGCACCGAGCTGAGGTTGACCGCAGGCCTNTTAGAAGCCCATCATTTACATGCAAATAATGTGTGAATCACCAGAACTCCAGGCGTCCAGGAGAACTGCTTGGCAGTGCTTGGCCAGACCCCGCATTAGGGTAGCTGGGGCAGAGATGGGCCGTGCTCCTTTCGGAGCCGTCTAGTTTGGACTAGCCTTTGGCCCCAGTGAGCGCACCGTGCTGAGGTTGACCGCAGGCCTGTGTGCGTGGGTCAGAGCTTAAGGAAGGACCTGCTTTACGGACCCAGCCTTTCATCCGTCCCGTGTGGCTCTGGTCCCTCGAGGGTGGGTTGCCCACTCTGTTCAGCCAAGCAGAGAATCAGTCAGGGCCTGGGGCTCAGAGAGAAATGCATGGTGGTCTGCTCTCATGCAGCCTGCATCCCACTTGAGACATCCCCTCAAGAGCCGGCAGATCATGGTACTGGGGTGGCTGATAGAGCCAGAGGGTGATTTGAGGCAGAGATGGGTGAGTCCACGGCCGGGTGGGGGTGGGGGGAGTGGGTTTAAACCTGATTTTGAGGGATGGGGAGAAGTTTAGCCCCACAGAGGCTGTAGGAATAGGCACTTCAGACTGGGAGTCAGACGGTGTGAACTGAATTCAGAGTGATTCAGGTGGGAACAAGCAAGGGTGAGTGCACAAAGGCAGGGAGAGCCAGGCCTCCGAGGCCCAGAGTTCCTCAGCTCCCGCCCCCGGTGTAGTGGCATGAATCTGTCAGTTTGCAAAGGGCGCCTCAAGAGCCAAACCAGAGAGGCCATGTAATGCACCACCTTCCTTTCAATTCCCAGAAACCCCACCCCCAGGCTACCTGAGTGAAGATGGAGAGACCAGTGACCACCAGATGAACCACAGCATGGATGCAGGTCAGAGCCTTGTGGAGTCTGTGCTCCTTGTCCTGAGTGCCTGCCCTTCCCCATCCTTCCCTTCCCCATCCTTCCCTCTGTTCCTCCATCTCTCTCTCTGTATTCCCCTCTCCCCCTTTTCTCTCTCCATCCTTCTCTCTGTCCCTCCATCCAGTATTTACTGAGCAATCCCCATGGGCCCAGATCTGAGCTAGAGCAGGAGCCCGAGTGGCTCATGGTGTGGGGGAGACCAACAAGCCAGCCCGCAGTCCCCGTGCCATCTCCTGTATGTCCTGATGGAAGATGCTGGTGGCACAGAGTAGGGCCACGCCACCCAGCCTGGGGACGAAGGACCAGGGGACTGAGCGGTAACTTGCGGTGTAGGTTTTTCCTGCACTGAGTCTTGGAGGTAATAGGGTTTGGCCAGGCTGCCAGGACAGGCAGAGCAGTGTGCCAGGCAGAGTCATGAGGGGCCGTGGGGAGGAGAGCTGGTGAGTTCTGGGGTGAGAGAGAGCTCCGTGTGGCTGGAGCATCCTCCTCCAGAGACAGGAGGGCCAGTCATTCAAAGCTTCAGGTGTAGCCAGAGGCTGATGCGGAGCCCCTGCAGGCTGAAAGCAGATGAAATGCTGCTGGCAGTGTGATGGAGGGTGGCCTTCATCACCTGAAACAGCTCAGGAGCGCTGGAACAGAGGTGAGATCTTTGCAAGGCCCCGAAGCATCTATTTTTGTGTGATGCCCAAATGCAATCTTTGTGTTCTTGCCATGAGGGGCTCAGCCCAGTCATCTCCAGCCACATCTCCAGATGTTCCTGCCTCATTTGTTCTGGGACCAAATTGGCCCCAGACCAGCAGCTTCTTGAATTGAACCCCAGCTGCCACATCGCACGTGCATGGCGTTGCATGTGGTTGGGTGAGGAGGAGAGAGCCAAGCAGATGTTCCCTTCCGATGACAGCAGGCATGCCTCGTGTATGCAGAGCCGTCCGATGTGGCGGGGCCACCTGCCCTGCACATAGCCCAGAAGAGAGTGCAGTTCCCGGAAGAAGGATGCAGGGGACATGCATGTTTATTGTAAATGTGGTCATCTGATACATGGCCTGGACATCGTGTCACATGCCTCCACACACCACTGATGAGTGGATGACGATGTGAACCAAGCCAGAATGCACTGGAGACCTGTATTTGATGCCGGGTGCCTGCCGTAAACTCACAGCTTTAAATGCTGGTATGGGAAGTCAGCCACCTGAGCAACATCTCTGCAGATGCTATATTTCTTCTCCCTCTCCTTCCCCCTTCCCTCCTTGCTGCTCTTCAGGTTTGTGGAAGGATTACAGGCAAACCTTTGAGATGTTTCATTTCCAGATAACCACAGTAAAGCAAGTCACACAAATTTTTTGTTCCCCATCTGCACTTGCATTATGTCCAAAAAAGTAGTGTACACGCCTTAATTAAAAATACTTAATAGCTCAACAATGTTAACCATCACTTGAACCTTCGAGTCAAAATCTTTTTTGCAATAGTAACTGTCAAAGATCACATATTACCATCAAAAATAGTGAGGAGGAGAGAGCCAAGCAGATGTTCCCTTCCGATGACAGCAGGCATGCCTCGTGTATGCAGAGCCGTCCGATGTGGCGGGGCCACCTGCCCTGCACATAGCCCAGAAGAGAGTGCAGTTCCCGGAAGAAGGATGCAGGGGACATGCATGTTTATTGTAAATGTGGTCATCTGATACATGGCCTGGACATCGTGTCACATGCCTCCACACACCACTGATGAGTGGATGACGATGTGAACCAAGCCAGAATGCACTGGAGACCTGTATTTGATGCCGGGTGCCTGCCGTAAACTCACAGCTTTAAATGCTGGTATGGGAAGTCAGCCACCTGAGCAACATCTCTGCAGATGCTATATTTCTTCTCCCTCTCCTTCCCCCTTCCCTCCTTGCTGCTCTTCAGGTTTGTGGAAGGATTACAGGCAAACCTTTGAGATACTGTGGTTTCATTTCCAGATAACCACAGTAAAGCAAGTCACACAAATTTTTTGTTCCCCAGTACCTGTAGAAGTTATGTTTATACTATCTTGGTCTGTTAAGTCTGTACTTGCCTTATGTCCGAAAAAGTAGTGTACACGCCTTAATTAAAAATACTTAATAGCTCAACAATGTTAACCATCACTTGAACCTTCGAGTCAAAATCTTTTTTGCAATAGTAACTGTCAAAGATCACATATTACCATCAAAAATATAACAGTAATTAAAAAATTAGAAATATTGTGAGAATTTTCAGAAGGAGACAAAAGACATGAAGTCAATGAATGCTGTTGGAAAAACGGTGCCAGTATGTTGGCTGGATGCAGTGTTGCCACAAACTTTCAGTTAGTAAAAAAAAAAAAAAAGTTGCATCTTCGAAGCACAGTAACACAGTCTGCCTGTGAAAACAGACCAAAGGAGAAGAAGGTCTTATATGGGACAAGCAGTCACCTTTTCACCCTCTCAACTCTTATGTTTCCCCCTTCCTTTCTCTGTCCCATCTCTGTCCTCCCTTCCTCATCTCCTCCCATAGTGTACCTGTAGGACCCTGTTGTGGACATGAGTGTTTATTGAATACGGGCCCTGGGCTTTGTGGGTGGGTGGGGTCTCCTGTTTATTCTCTGCTCTTCACTCAGACCAGTCCAGTTGCTCATGGTTTGACTTCTATGCCAGCAGATGGGAGCAGCATCTCCGCTGGGGCCCGAGGCTCTCCCTGTCCAGCCCTGTGTCTCCCCAGATATGTGCACATGTCTGTTCAGACCAGAGAGAAGGTCCCACTTCCTGGGTCTCCATGATTCGGACCAGCCTGAAACAGGAGACCAACACTTACTAACACCTCCTATGTACAAGCCCTGGTGTAGGCATAGTTTTGTGCACCATTCCACTTCATTTCTACACATCACACAGTAGATGGTATCATTCCCATTTTATACCTGTGGGGGAAAAAAATCATGGCTCAAAGTGTTTGAACCACTTTGCCAAAGTCCCATGGCTACATGGTGCCATGTCCAGATTCCATGGAAGATTTGAAAACTCTGCTTTTTCTGACTTTTCCACATCCCCCAGAAGATTGGGTGCTAGAGGCGAGACAGAACCCATGGTTTCCCCTTGGTCCTCAAGGAGGTCACAGCTGAGTTTAGGAGCAGGAGCAGACCCCTGCTCACAGCTCCAGGCAGCCTAAGCTGAAGGCCCAGTGGTGAGGACTGGAGATTTCAGGGAGTGGAGCCAGGCGCAAAGGGCTGTCAGTCAGTAAACAAACAACTCTCTGGAGCTGGAGCCTCATGGGTGCAGGGACGATGGAGCGACCAGCCCAGTATTGCTTTTTGGAAAAGCAATATCTTGGTTTTCTGAAGGCTGATGCTGTGTGGGTCCCCACCCACCTACCCACTGGGAGTAATGAGTAAAGATAATAGAATAGGACGAATTGGGTAGTTAGGACTTTTCCTCATGTGTAGCATCATGTTTTGCATAAAATGTCAGTCTGGTTGCTGAGTTGTGGGGTGTCTGAAGCAGCTTGGTGAGTTTCCTGAAACCTGGGAATGCCTGCATTGGTATTTGCAGCCCCTGAGCTCTGAGAGCAGAGAGGGGTCTGGGTGGCTGCAAGCTCCACTTTCGCTGCTGGGGGCCTGGAGCACCTGGGGAGAGGGTCTCCCCCAGTTAACAGGGCATGTCAGTGTGGGGTCTGTGTGCCCAGGCTGGGACCGCAGCAGCCCCCTGCTGCAGGCTTGGTAGACGCATCAAAACCCTCGAGTTGTGGAAGAGACTCCGAGGTCATCCGCTCATCTATTGGTCGCACAGATAAAGAAGCTGGCACCTGGGGAAGCGAGTGCACAGGCAAGGATATATGAGGTTCGGCTTCTCCTGGGCCATGGAGGCCCAGCCCAGGGCTTTCTTCCCACACCACTGTGATGTACACCTTCTGTCATCTGGCTCCCAGGCCCACAGTCTTTTCTGAAGTCTCACAGCAGTGTCTCACCTTGCAGGTTCTCCAAACCTCTCCCCGAATCCGATGTCCCCAGCACACAATAACTTGGGTAAGTAGCTCCTTGTCTGTACAATTCAAACCCCCTTCAGCTATAGCCCTGGCTGGTGGCTGGTGGCTGGTGTGGGGAGGAGGCCCTGAAGGTGATGCCCCTCCCCGCCCCCCGCCCCTGGCCCCCAGCATCCGCCCAGCACAACCCATTAGGTTTCTGCTTACATAGCTTCTGGGGTCACCCACAGGATGGGAAACCTGAGAACAGCGGTGGCAGGAAAAGCAGCCGTGGGCCAGGCTTGTATTTCCCCTGGGAGGCGGTTAGACACGAGTGAATGAAAATCCCCCGAATCTTGTGCTGTAGAAACATGAGGGTCTGTGGTCGGCGAGCATCCGTGTGTGGTTTGATGCAAAGCCACGGGCAGTGGTGCAGACTACAGCCCCCAGCTTTCGGGGACTTGTTTCAGATACACTTACTTGGATTTCATCTGAGCACCTCATCTGACAGTGATGTCATTTTTATTTAAAAGAGTACCATATAAGGAATTTTTTTTTTTAATGCAAAGTTACCCATAATCCCTCTACTCTCACACAAACGTGTTTGTTTTATCTTGGTCCTCTGATGTTTTTGGATCAGGCACATATAGTTGTGCTTTGCCTTTGAGATAATACTTCATATTCAGTTTTTCCTTCTATCTTCTGTTATTTTGTAAACACATTTCCATGCTTAGATGTCTCATTGATCATCTTGCATTATCTCATGATGTTTTAGAGCAGCTGGGCCATCATTTCCACAACTTTCTCTCAGATGTTTGATTTCTGGGTCATTTTTGTGAGATTTGCTTTTCTAATCCAGGAGCGTCTTTTGGCTTCAGTGTGGGGCCTGCCAGAGGGCTCAAAACAAATGAAATATTTGTTCAGTCTCATTTAGGGGAATTTTTTCCTGAGTTGGTCTGGCAGCTTTAGAAGAATGTGAGTTTGATTTTGTTCTGGCCTGTACTGCTGGGACTTGACTTGTGGCTTAGGGAACAGAGGAGTTAATATCCATACTTGGTGAATCAGAGTGGATTGGCCTGGCTTTTGTTCCCAGTTATTCCCAGTCCTTGACTGATAGCATCAGATGAAGAGTCATCATTTGGAATGTGTGGGAGCTGCTTGAAAACCCTTTAATACAGGCTGACGAGTGGGCAGTGTGAAATATGACTTTGGGGGATCTGTTTTAGTGTCTTTGTAAAATAATACCATGGTGTATGTTCCCAATGTGAAAGGACTGATGGAGTTATTAAACATAAACTCTGAAGGCTGGAAGCTTATGTTAACTTGAAGGCCATGGCTGTGAACTTCACTCTGGGCTTTCCACTTTGGAGGTTGACCCCTCTGACCCCACCACGGCAGCCCTTTCAGTCTACAGACATCAGAGCTGGTGCTTGACCTGGCAACCCCACTGCCTGACTTGGTGGTTCGGACTGAAAGTTGTCCTGGGTGGGTGCTCACTCTGCATTCCCCTCGAGATTGCGTAGACCAGGATGACAGCGTGTCCTTGAACTTGGCCCCAAGGCAGAGAGCCCGACTGGCACAATCCTCCCGGCCTGCTGCCGTGTCCCTCAGCCTCTTGTCTGAGGGTCAGGAATTATAAGGCCATTTCTTCCAAATGAAGGAACAGCCTCCAAGCCTGGCGGACAGAGAGGGGGGAGCCACTCTGCTGGGAAGATGTGGATGGGGGCACGAGTCAGCTGACGGGCCATGAAGGACTCATGGTGAGACTCTGGCGCTGACAGGCCCGGCTTCCTTTCTGCTTGGCGAGCCCTCGAACCCCAGCCTTCACCCACTCAAAACCACTGGTAGGACCCCTACTGCCTCATCGCCTTGGTATCAGGGCTGGATGGAGATGAGAGGATGGTGATGATGATGGCTGGCATTTCTTGAGAACTCCCCGTTTACTGAGGGTTGTTCAGAGCGCTTCATGCGTGTCAGCTGAATCTTCGTGACAACTAAATGAGGTGGTAGCGCTATAATTTTTCATCTTGTGGAGTAGGAGACCAAGGAACGGACTGGTTAACGTACTTGTCCCTTCACACAGCTAGGAAATGGGGACCTCAGGCCTTGGGGGCCCAGAGCTTGTGTCCCCACATGCAGCAGCACCCTGCCTTGCTCGGCCACTTGGACCAGCTCTCCCCTTTCTCAGCAGAACTCGGCCCAGGGAGGGAACAAGTGTCAGATTGAGGGTCCTGGTGTCCCATGTCGTCCCTGGTGGGGACCCCTGCCTGCTTGCCTGTCTCTTCCTCACTCGGCCATTTGCCGGCACTTCCTGCTCCATCTCTGTATGCCAGCCCAGGTAGGGGAATTCAAAGAGGAGCCCCAGACCCTGACATCAAAAGGTTGTCAGCCTCGTTGGGATAAATAAGCAGGACTGTAAATAGCTTTTTATATAAAACAAGAGGTAGGTGCAGATAAAATACCCTGAGGGCTTAAAGGAGGGAATGGTGGCATTCCAGTGGGGACATCATGCAGGGTGGTCCGTATCTTCTCCGTATTTACTCATTCATTCGCTGAGTTCCTACTATGTACCGATGCTGGGGGTCCAGAGCTGAAGACCCTTAAACGTTCACTGTCTGGTGGAGTGGCTGGAGGTGTCTGTCACCGATGATGTACTGCGCCCAGGGCCAAAGGAGCAGGCGCACACAGGACAGGGGAAGTGTATGTGCCAGGCGGGGTGGGGAGACCTCAGAGTTGTGACCTATGTGCGCTGGACCTTGAAGGACAGGTAGGATGCTGCGAGGAGGCAGAGAAGGAGGGAAGGGCACTGCCGATGGAAGCACTGGTGTGAACGGGCGGGCTGAGCTCTGGGGATGGCTGGCAGTGTGGTGGGTTGGCTTGTGGGAGGCACAGTGGAGATGAGGCTGAGGGGGCTGGCAGGGCTGAGAAAAGAGCGTGGAAGGCCACACTTACATAGCCCCGCCTTGCCTACAGGATAAGGCAAGATGGCAGGTTTTGAGTTTGGGGCGCTTATCTGATGGTGGCTTCATAAGATTAATCTGGCCACTATGTGGAATTTAAATTTTAGGAGACATTGCTGGGGCTACCACCCCTACCCCACCCCTCCCAAAAAAACCCACTTAGGAAGCTGTAGCACTGAAGGAGGCTGAGATGAAGGCCTTAGAGAAAGGGAAGCAGAACAGGAGAAGGCATCTGAGAGCACCATGGGCCAGAGTCAGCAGCATTTATTGACCAGCTCTAACTGGGAAGACTGGGAGGCTTCCATGTCACTGAGGCCGGACCCCAGGAGATGGGGGACGGGGTTTGGCGAGGAGGGTGACAGGGAGGTGCCTCTGCTCACCTGAGTCCAGGAAGCAGTGGGACGGTCAGGAGGGAGGCCGTGGCTGAGGTGCAGCTTCGGAGCCATTAGCATGTGTGATAGCCTTGCCCGTAGTGGGTCAGACATGTGATTTTATCTTTAGATGAGTTTGGAAAACCTGGCTCATGCCCACTCCTGGGGCCCCCAGGGCACTCGCAGCGTAAAGCCTCTGAGAGTCCTGCAGAAAGGAGGCCTGGCTGGTCCAGCGTTTCTCCCAGGGATCCGACCACTGTTGGAACACTTCTCTCTCAGGATCCCGTGGACCATTCTATAGACCTCACTTGGGGAACACTGCCAAAGTTTCGGCTGAAGTCCGGGAGGTGGATGGATGCCATGGAGAGGGAGACCCAAGGGTGGACTCATGAGATGTGCCTCGGGAAGAGGCCTGGGGGTCAGGCGGAGGATGGGGCCCAACAGTCAGAGGGGAGAGAGGTGCTGAGGGCAAGGGGTGGGCAGGTTCTGTGGAGATGCCAAGTGAGGGGTAAGGAGAGAGCTCCTCGGGGGTCAGGGGCATCATTTGGAGAGCAGGTGTGGGGAGGGGGCTGCAGTCCTCGGCAGTGGGCTGCAGGACAGATAAAAGGCGGGGGGTTGGGGGGGCGGCATCTGCATTCCTCTTTCACGGCCGAATGTCCCAAACCGTAGGATGCTGACGGGCACATGGAGAGTTCTCCCTGAGACATCTGGGCATCTCAGGACACCTCTTATTTCTTGTAAAGAAGTTATTATACAAAAAGAAAGCACGCATAGGACATCTGGCTACTTCTTCATTTCTTTCCTGCTCCAGGCAAAAGATTGAGCCTCTGAGCCACTTGGGGTGCCTCATGGGGGAGCCCCAGGAGTGACTGAGAGCCAGCTCAGCCTCTGGCCAGCCGCAGGCTCTGGGGAGATCCCAGGGCTTTGTTGTGCAGGGAAGGGATGTGAGCAGGTGAGGTTCCTGTTATTACACATTGTGCTGGATGAATCACCTGGAATTTCCAAGTATTTAGGTCAAGGATTGGAGCAAATGCAGGGGGAGGAGGGGAGGAGGTGGAGAGAGATAACGAGCCAGATCCTGCCTGTGAGTAAGCTGTTCTTTGCTTTAGAGTGAGACATCTCTGGAGAGGCTTTGACTCGGGGAAGTGAGGTACCAGGGAGTGTCCAGGGGCAGGAATTGAGCTGGAGTTGAAGGTGATGGTTTCCCAGAGGGCCCTGGACTGAAGCTGCCTTCTTCTGCTGGTGGCCAAGGTAGCAAGAAGACCCCTGGCCCCTCAAGAGAGGGCAGGGGGACCCCCTTACAGCCCAAACCCAATCCCAGGTGTCTTTTCCAAGGCCTCATTGAGCTCTCGTCTTCCACAAGCTCGGGGCACCACAGGCGGACGTCCTCATGGCAGGAAGTCAACCGCTGGCTGGACCGTCAGACTCCCGGGCGGCCGTCCAGCTGAGACTTCTCCGTTGTTCTTGGTCTCGGTAGACTGGTCCTCGGTTGACAGAGCAGGGGTCCTTTCTGTGTAAAAGTGGGCTTATGGCCTAATCCTTCACGAGACCAGTTGGAATTGCTGCCCGGCTGCTGGGATGACTGGCCTGGGCCAGCAGGGACCTGACCTTTAGGTGGGCAGGTGGCTCAGACACCAGGGGTGAGAGAATGTTTTCACAGCCACCTGAGCTGGGCCTTGAGGGTCGTGTCCCAGCAGACGAGGGGGACGAGCAGTGCAGGCAGTGGGAAGGCAGATGGGGCCTAGGGTGTGGGGTCTTTTTCCACAGGGCCCAGACAGAGGCGGGTGCTGGTGCTCTGACCTTCAGCTCCGCTGCATCGGCACGCCCGCTCCTCACCCCCCTCCCTGCTCTTGACGTATAGCAGAAAGCTAATTGCCCCACTCGGGCCTCCCCCCTTTCCTTTCCCGGATTTGGATCTCTTGCACATGTTTTTAATAGGCATCCCTTAATCCAAGTGTTGCCTTCTGGGTTTTATTCTGTTTTCTTTCCCTTAAACAAAACAGAAAGCCCATGCCAGCTTGGGCTTGGGCTCAGAACCAGAGCCAGCCAGTGCGTTAGGCTGGCAGGGGGCCAGTGGAGAATTAAGTGCCCCCTGCCCCTCGAGGAATCTGGCCCTCACCGCAGCGGCGGGGGCTGGGGGGCGAGAGCGGCTGGAGCAGGAGGTTCCTGCGTCTGCAACACCTCTGCCACAGGAAGAGGGATTAGCACAAACTCAGCAGTCTGACTGGGAGCAGAGCCGTGTGGAGGGAAGGCCTTGGGCACGCGCCATCAGCTGCCACACCAGGTGTGTGGAGTCCTTGGCCTGGGGAAGCGAAACCACTTTCCTTGGGGCAGGTCACCCTACCCTGTCCTCCCAGAGGAGCCTGTGAGCCGCATATGTTCAGAGTTTTTTCCCCCAGAAGCAGCCTTATGTAAAATTGCTTTTGCCTTTATTGGGACACTCTTGAATCCAGGGTGGGTTGAATGACTGCGTTGACTGTTGTGGGTGAGAAGTGGCCCCACTGAAGAGTTCTTTTAAGATTTAGTGCCCAGGACAAGCTTTATTTTCCCTACAGAACTGGTAAGAATTTTATTTTTGCCAACCAGAGCCAGGTCGCATATCATGCTCCCTTTTTGCCTTGTCTGCTAGGAAGCTCAGAGCCAAGGAGTGCTCTTTTAGTAGCCATCTAATTTAATGGTTAGCCTGTTTATAGTCTTCTCTTTACCAGGGTCCTGACTTGGTCTTGTTCTGAACCATGGTGTGGATAAGTCCTTTAGTAGGAAAAGAAATGAGGGCAGACATGCAGTTTAAAAATAAAGCACCATTCAAGGCAGAACCCCCCGGAGGTGGGGCGGGTATGCAGCTCCTCTGGCGTAAGTGCCTGCAGGAAGCCCTGAGGGATGATGGGAGGGGAGAGGTGAAAGGCCAGGCTGACTGGCAGCTGTTTGCAGACCACAGTAAGTGCATGGCTGGGGTGCTGCTGCTGAACGTGGGTCAGCTTGTCCAGACAGCACTCTCTGAAATGGCAGCCTTCAGACTTGGCCTTGGCCTGACAGCTCCACTCCCCAAACTACCATCTGCTTAATTATGTGTCAGGCTCCTGCATCCTGTGTTTTCCACAACACTGTTTAGTGCGCGTCTGCGAGTTGCAGGGATGTTTAGATAAGGGCTCAGATCTGCTTGGGAGAGCCTCTGGGCGAGGACCCCAAGTCTCTCTCTGATTCTGAGACACCTCAAAGCCTACACATCACCAGAAGGGTGTTCTGGCCCCATGTTACCCAGCGGGTGGCCTGCTGACTTCCCTTCTTTTGACAAGTGGGCCGGGTCAGTGTTCCTGGGAGCCTGGCTTACTGCCTTCTGCCTGGGCTAAGCCCAGGGGGTGTTGGACTTGGCTTTATCATTCCAGGACAAGGACTCGGTTCTGTACTTGGCTAGGGAAGCCAAGGCCAGCCCAGATCACTCACGGCTGCCTCTTCAGTGTGACCCGTGACCTTCCCAGTCTGCTTTCAGTGGCTTCCAGCACACTGCAGTCACTGTTCAGACCGGGCCACTGAGGCCAGAGAGGGACGTCATGTCCCTGAGGTTGCGCAGCAAAGTCAGAAGAGCCTGCCTCTGGGAAGCGGGGCCCGCAGCGCTTCCCCGGTACCTTCTGGATCTGAACGTTGCCGGGCCACTTTGAAGGCTTGGAGTGCACTTGGATTTCTTAGGTGGTGGTGGTTGTTTTTCTTAAGGTTTCCAAAGCAACATAGCTCACATTTTAGTGAGCACATTGTTTAGAATATAACTTATCTCATTGGAATGTCAAACATCGAGCAATGCCAGAGCCGGATGTGGCTGACATGGCTCAGTCCAGCCTCCAGGGTACTGGCCGCGGGCTGTGGTCGCTCCTGCCCCCATCACACCCCCTTCGCCATTAAGTAGCCTGGATAGCCTACCTTCCCTCCTCTTCCCTTGCTCCACCCTGGCAGGAGAAGGAGGGGCAAGGACACTTTGCCCCCTTTGGTTGGAGGTCAGGCCAAGAACAGGATGTTCTCAAGTTTGAATAACTGAAATTATTCTAATTGCTGTTGACACCATTTATTGAGTGTCTGATGCATGCCCTGCTCTCCACTTGAATTCTCTCAGCCCATCCAAAAACAGCTCCGGGTGAGAAAGGAGATTCTCCACTCTGGTGGCCGGGGGAGATGCGGACACTGAAACTCCGAGCTAAACTGCTTTGCTCACCAGCACACAGCTGGTCTGTGTCTGGCGTGAAGCTTGCGCTCCATGACCTGGTCAAACATTTAGGGAAGTGACTGTCTTCTGGGGGCTATTTTGCCCCCTGGAAGACCTCTCTCTGTGTCTGAAGGCCCTTCTGACTGTCAGAGCTGGGAGGGCGAGATGGATGGGGTCCGCTGGCATCTAGAGGCCAAGGATGCCACACACATCCTGGAGCCCATAGAGCCCTCTCTCCCCAAACACAGAATTACCCGGCCCCAAACCTCAATAGTGCTGAGGTGGAGAAACCTGATCTAGGTGTCCTGACCCTCCGGCTGACTCTTTTCCTGGGTGTGGTAAGGGCAGGCTTCTCACCTGCCTGCAGCTCCTCCTGCCTGTGCTGACCTTCTTTTCACCTTTAGATGGATGGGATCGTGGACGTTGACCCTGGAAGGAGCTGAGGGCCACGTTGCCCGGCAGGGAGACCTGGCCCCACCTGGAACTGCTTCTGGGTTTTTCTCTCCTGGGCTTTACACTGTCAGCGGCCTGGGGAGCTGAGCAGAGGTTCTCGTGGGCTCTCGCTCTGGGCTCTCGCTCTGGGAAATTGCCTGGCGGGCAGTGAGCAGGGGTCTTGGGCCAGGGCTGAGACTCGGTCCAGTGAGCGCTCCTAGACTCTCTCACCAGCTCCCCAGAGACGCACTCTGAACGACCGTCTGTGTGTATGTATGTATGTATTAATAAGAGCCAGAGTGAGTGACCTGTGATGGAGTAGTGAGAGCAGCAAGCTCCCTGATTGTCCAACACCTGGGATGCGAGGAGGCAGAGTGCAGGATGTGGTCCCGGGAGCAGTGCACAGTGGAAGGGGTGACTGGGGTGCGGAGGGGGCGGGAGGGGGTCATGTCAGAGGGCAGGCACTGGTGCAAATGAGGAGTGATGAGGGCCTGGCCCCTGGCCGGGAAGATGGACCCTGAGATGAGTGATGACGGAGAGACGGGCAGGAGGAGGGCACCTGGGCAGGTGTGCAGCCTGAAACGGCTGGAGGTGGCACGAGTCACGGGAAAGGCACTGTGGGGTCATGTGAGGGGAAGCCTCTATTTCCGGGGTGCCTACCTCTTCTGAGAGCCGCCCCCTCACAGGATGGCAGTTTGCTCTAAGGTGCCCTTGACTGAGACACAGACTGGCAACTGGGATAAATTCAGAGTTTCTCTTGGGTGAGTGTGTGTGTCTCAGCCGCCCCGATGGATGGCATCTGGATACAAGGAGGATAGCTTCTGTAATCAATGGCAGGGACCCAGCTCACACCGCAGACAGCACCCGACGCCTGTGTGGTTGCAACTGCTGAGCACAGACAGACACCCGGGGTCGCACCAGCCTCGTCATCTGGCCATTTCACAGGCCTGCATGCTGCCGCGAGATGGGCTAGGAGTTGGCCCATGATCAGGCAGAACCAGAAGCTGCAGGCCCTTTTAGGGGGCAGAGATCAGCACGGGTTACTATGGGGACCTTGAAAGAAAGGAAAGTGGCGGGACCAGACTGCAGTGGACACTGCTGGCCTCTCTGGTGCGTCTGCCCAGGTATCTCTTGGTTCCAGAGCCTTTCAGATTTGGCCCGGCACCTCCTTGAAGACGGCTTTGACCTAGGCCAGGCAGGGTAGGACCTTTGTGAGCTCAGACGAAATGAACAGTGCTAAGGCCGGTGGAATGCATCTCCCAACACCTGAGGGTTTTGCCCCACTAGATCCTGTGAGTTTTACACAGGAAAAGGGCGGGGAGGTTATAATGCCCTCCGGGAGGTGAGGAAACAGTCTTGCAGAGCATCCCGGGGACCCCATCCAGGAGCCCAGAGCCTGGGGACACTCCCTGACCCAGCAGCCTGGCCTGTCTCCGCAGACCTGCAGCCCGTCACCTACTGCGAGCCGGCCTTCTGGTGCTCCATCTCCTACTACGAGCTCAACCAGCGCGTCGGGGAGACATTCCACGCCTCGCAGCCGTCCATGACGGTGGACGGCTTCACCGACCCCTCCAACTCGGAGCGCTTCTGCCTGGGGCTGCTCTCCAACGTCAACCGGAATGCAGCCGTGGAGCTGACACGGAGGCATATCGGTAAGGGGCGGCCACGTTACCCCCCGCCTGGCCCCTGACACCCCAGCCTGCCACTGCCACCGCCCCCGTGGGAACCCGCCCGCCACCCTGTGCTGCCTCCCTCACCTGCCCCTTGAGCTCTCTGTCACCTTGTTGAGGGTGTTTAGGGTAAGACAGGTAGAATCCGGGTTGCCTGTTCCTTCCGCCTCAGACAGACCATCTCTGAGAATTTGAAAGCAGTCGAGGAAGACCCTTGGATTTCTTGAGAAAGGCAGCTGTGCCATTCTCTTAATGAAAATACCCTTAAAATATGGAGCGCAGACAGGTAGATAGTCTGTCTTGCAGGAGTGATCTTTCATTTGTTCATTTCGTATATAATTGTCTTAGGAACTTAGAAAAAGTGAAAAGACGACAGGCATTGCCCACTCCTAGATTCTTGGACTTCCCTCGTGGCTCAGCTGGTAAAGAATCCGCCTGCAACGCGGGAGGCCTGGATGGGTTCGATCCCTGGGTTGGGAAGATCACCTAGAGAAGGGAAAGGCTACCCAGTCCAGTATTCTGGCCTGGAGAATTCCATGGACTGTATAGTCTATGGGGTTGCAAGGAGTCAGACATGACTGAGCGACTTTGACTTTTTTTTCACTTTCATTGCCTGCGGCTGGGACAGCGCCACTGCTAACACTGTCTTCTGAGCCCCAGCCCGTGGCAAGAGATCACTTAGTCTAGGGAAGGTGAAGCCGTGATATGTGGCCCTCGATTTGTTCGGAAAATCATCACGCTGAGGATGTTCACAACTTTGTGATCCAGAGTCACCTAGAAGGGTCGTAGAGATGGTATAGAGAGGGTGGGTATTCTCAGAGATTGTTCGGTGCATCCACGGTGGCCGAGGGGCTCTAGAGCAAACTCAAGAGCTGAGCAGGGCGGCAGGGTCAGGGCCCGTGTGAACCACAGCGCCTCTGCTCTTGCTTGTATCGTGGGCCTTCACAGAGGATCTCATGTGCAGAGACGGTTTTCCAGTTAAAAGCTGGGAAGCCACGGGCCTGCACCAGGGGCATCATTTTCCAGGGAATAACCTGACGCCCAGCGAGGGGCAGAGGGCACACAGCAAGTGTGTGACACAGTGGGTGACATGAGCCCCTGCCCCTCAGCCCATACCCTTCCTAGACAGCCCCTCACTTGTTTTAAAAAGACCCGCAGTGGTATACACAGAGGTTTATTTACTCACTTCATACTTCTGTATATCTAAAAATAGTATTTTAAAAGTTACCCAAACATTTTTGTTCTTTGGATCTTGTCTTCCCACCTCCACCTCTGCCTCCTGCTCTTGACTGACGTTAATACTGGGGTCCCCCGGGTCTGCCAGCACCCTGGGATCTTCGAGACGCCAAGTCCTGCAGCACTGAGCCAGGCAGAGCGGGGGAGTGGGGGCGGGGGACAGTTGTGGGACGAGGTGGCAGGCTTGTAGCTGATCACCTGCTTTCCATCCCACTCCACGGCGCGCCTGTGAAATCTGGCTCCATTTCCCAGCCCTCAGGGCTTCTCCCCCCCTGGAATGGGAACAGAGACCTTCCAGGCAGAAGAGTACATCCCCTGGCCGAGCAGAGACTCATTGTTGGAGGGTTTATGTAACCGCTTGAATTGCAGGGCCAGTTTAAAAATAATTTCTGTCCATCTGGAGTGGATTTAAGAGATGAAGAAAAACTAAATGATATAAACCTATGGAGTGGTTTAGAAAAATGCATTGAGAGGAGAAAGCTCCAGGGGGTGGCATTAATGACGCCATGCCTGCAGTGAAGGGCTCCTGGGGTGTCTGCTGCCCGAGGAGCTCTGCAGGTTGACGACATGAGTTTCTGAATGTTGGAAGGGGAAGGGACCTAGTAGTAAGTAGCAGCAACAGCTACTGCTCACCAGGCACCCATGAGGTAGGTATTATCATTATCCCCATCCTACAGATGAAGAAACTGAGGCTGTGTAACTTGGCTGAGGCCTGTGGCAGATCACTGGTGGTCTGCCTCCCTAGCTTTAGCCACCACCCATCACTTCCTGGTGGGATAGGGCCTGGGCTCTGGGTCCCGCTTGCCTGGTGATGCTGGTAGAGAACCAGTCACCTGGAACCTCAACTGCAGCCCTGCCTCCTGTGGTAGCTGCGGCTGGTGCCAGGACCACTGTGTGGGGGCCAGAGAGACCTGGTCCCGGCTAACCTGCATCTCTCTAGGGCGGGGCGTGCGGCTCTACTACATCGGAGGGGAGGTCTTCGCAGAATGCCTCAGTGACAGCGCCATATCTTCGAGACGCCAAGTCCTGCAGCACTGAGCCAGGCAGAGCGGGGGAGTGGGGGCGGGGGACAGTTGTGGGACGAGGTGGCAGGCTTGTAGCTGATCACCTGCTTTCCATCCCACTCCACGGCGCGCCTGTGAAATCTGGCTCCATTTCCCAGCCCTCAGGGCTTCTCCCCCCCTGGAATGGGAACAGAGACCTTCCAGGCAGAAGAGTACATCCCCTGGCCGAGCAGAGACTCATTGTTGGAGGGTTTATGTAACCGCTTGAATTGCAGGGCCAGTTTAAAAATAATTTCTGTCCATCTGGAGTGGATTTAAGAGATGAAGAAAAACTAAATGATATAAACCTATGGAGTGGTTTAGAAAAATGCATTGAGAGGAGAAAGCTCCAGGGGGTGGCATTAATGACGCCATGCCTGCAGTGAAGGGCTCCTGGGGTGTCTGCTGCCCGAGGAGCTCTGCAGGTTGACGACATGAGTTTCTGAATGTTGGAAGGGGAAGGGACCTAGTAGTAAGTAGCAGCAACAGCTACTGCTCACCAGGCACCCGTGAGGTAGGTATTATCACTATTCCCATCCTACAGATGAAGAAACTGAGGCTGCGTAACTTGGCTGAGGCCTGTGGCAGATCACTGGTGGTCTGCCTCCCTAGCTTTAGCCACCACCCATCACTTCCTGGTGGGATTGGGCCTGGGCTCTGGGTCCCGCTTGCCTGGTGATGCTGGTAGAGAACCAGTCACCTGGAACCTCGACTGCAGCCCTGCCTCCTGTGGTAGCTGCAGCTGGTGCCAGGACCACTGTGTGGGGGCCAGAGAGACTTGGTCCCGGCTAACCTGCATCTCTCTAGGGCGGGGCGTGCGGCTCTACTACATCGGAGGGGAGGTCTTCGCAGAATGCCTCAGTGACAGCGCCATCTTTGTGCAGTCTCCCAACTGTAACCAGCGCTATGGCTGGCACCCAGCCACCGTCTGCAAGATTCCGCCAGGTACCACCACCTACACGCCCACCCCTTCTCTGCGGGCCTCTCCTCTGCGGCGCATGCCTGGGATGCCGGAAAGCTTTCTTCTTCCTTTTCTCCGCATTGGTGTTTGCACTGACAGTCTGGAGATGCTTCACTTGGGTTTTCTCTGTGCCTTGCTGTCTTACTGTGACCTCCTGGAACCTCCGCAGAGCAGACGCAGCATCTGACAGGTCTGCCTTTGATCTGTGGGTACCTGTTTCCTGCCTGTGTGCACAGATGCTGAGGCAGTATGCTTGTTTGCTTCCTTCTTTCCTTCCTCCCTTCCTTCCTACAGCCATGCTGGAAGCTGCAGGGGGGATAGGAGGGTACAGGAAGCCCTCCTGCTGCCCTCTCAGAGTGAACCCATCAGCTGCGTGTACAAGGCAAAGACCCAAATGTGCTTAATACAAGGGAGGGTAGCGCTAAGCACAAAGCAAGCAGCACAGGTCACATGCTATTGGATCCAAGAGGAAAAGCATTTAACTGTTGGGATGGTTCAGAGAAGGCTTCATGGAGGATAAGGCATTTGAGCTTGGAGGGAGCCATGGGCCTGCACCAACGTGGAAGGAGTAGGCACAGGGTGATGGGGGCAGGGACTGAGGGCATTCCAGGCAGAGGGGATGATATGGGCAAAGGCCTAGAGGTGAAGGAGGGCAAGGCACGTGTGGGCTGCACTCTGGCTGTGGTGGAGGCTGTTTAGACAGTCGGGCACGTGTTTAGACAATATGATGGGACCAGGCCATGGAAGGACATGAGATCACGTTTACTCAAGGAGACTGTTGAGGGTTTTCTGAGTAGGACTGTGTACTCCAGGCGGTGGCAGGCTCACCTCAGAGGGTGGTGTGGACAAGGCCAGCCCTGGGTAGAAGACCAGGCAAGAGGCTGATCTTACCTAGAACCTTGCGTAGAAAGCAGAGGCAGAAAGCCCCCGAGGCCCCCTCCTCCCAGGACATGCAGCCGCAGAGCGTGGACTGTGCCTGGCAGGCAGAGAGTGTGCGGCTCAGGCCATTGCCTACGGCACGAGTGTAGCATGTCTTCCTGCCTGCCAAGTAGCAGGTGATGGTGGTGCGGTGGGTCATGGGCAAGGTCAAGTGAAGAATGCAGTTTGAGACGCTGGTGGTGCTGTCTGTTCCCAAGACGTCGTGTGGTTGCCTTTACAGAGCACATGTCTGTCTTGGGGCTCACCGAGTCCTCTCTATCACTCTAGCTTTCCCGGCAGGGAGGCACGTTGAGATGAGCTCAGAGAGGCTAAGCCACCTGCATAGGACACACAGCCAGTCAGTGGCTGAGCCAGGATGAGCCTCGGGCTGTGTGCTCATCTGCTGCTCGCTGGGCAGGGGCGGGAGCCTACCGTGGGCCCTGCTTCACCTCCTGTCCCCTCAGAGAAGACGAGGAGAGGAAGCCCAGCTGCACTTTTGGCTTTCTGCCCACCCCTTGGCCCTCCCAGCCTCTCTGGTTCGGGCAGAGCTGGCTGTGGCTGGCTGTTAGTTCTTGGAATGTCGGAGCTAGGGGCTCCTGAGGCCAGCCTCTCCCTTCACAAGGGAGATATGGGCTTAGAAGAGAAAGGGACCAGCCCAGAGTCAAACAGCCAGCCGGGGGGCCCAGTCGGGGCTGGCCCGCTAGTGAGTGTCGCCTCAGCTCACCTTTGGGGCATTTCCGGAACATGCTTTTGTCTTTTATTTTTCCGGTTGACACATTCCTGGCACTTGGGCTGTAGGACTTCAAACAGGAGATTTATTGTACGCTTCATGTGTGCCTGTCTCTGGTTGTACTGCTGGGAAAGTTAGGCACACACCTTCCCTTTCCTGTGAACATCACTCTAACCCAGCCTTGTGCTCAGATCTCTCACTGCCCTCGGTCCCAGCGGAGGTGGATTTATCGGAGAAGCCTGGGTGAAAGGTGCCTAGGACCCTCTGCTGAGCTTCCTGTTGGCATGGCAGGCTGGGCAGCCTCTCAGCTGCCCTCTCTGGTGCCCCCTCCATTGAAGGGCACGGGCTTCTGTTCCCCAGGCAGCCGACCATGCCCCACGCCGAGGGGGCATTTGGGCCACAGCCCTGTCTCTCTGTTCCTTGGAGTCCTGCCCGGCCCCTTCACCCAGGGCAGAGCCCCCCAGCTGACTGTCCCCCTCGGTCTTGCCCCCGCTCCGGGGACCAGGCTCGTGCGCCCCGCTACGGCTGTGTCGGCTGCACCTCTCTATAGAAGCGGCGGTGGCTTCAGGGTGGAGACCACGCCGGCCGCCCCCCGCAGGCGGCTGAGCGTGGAGTCTGTGGCTGATGCAGAAACGCTGGTCTGGGTGACCTGGGCGGTGGCTCTAACCAGAGGGGGAGCTCGGGACAAGGCCGGCCTTCGTCCCCATAAGCTCTGCGTCTGTCCTGTTGGCAGGATGCAACCTGAAGATCTTCAACAACCAGGAGTTTGCCGCCCTCTTAGCTCAGTCTGTCAACCAGGGCTTCGAGGCCGTCTACCAGCTGACCCGCATGTGCACCATTCGCATGAGCTTCGTCAAGGGCTGGGGAGCCGAGTACAGGTGGGTGCTGGGGATGCAGGGGCCGCAGCTGACTCAGAACAGCCGAGCAGGGGTCCTCAGGGATGAGCCAGGCTGGCCCTCTCCGCCAAGAGCAGAGGGACCAGGGATCAGAGCGGGGCCGAGTCCCATCAGACAAGGAAGAGCTGAGTGGTGCCTGCCCAGCGTTTCAGCTTCTCGGGCACTGGAAGCACCTCATCCTCACAACCCCGGGTGGGGATGCTGGTATCATCCCCCTTGTACAGGCCCAGGGAGGGAAACCGACGTGCCTGGAGTCGCCCTGTTGGTGGAAACGCCGAGCCTACAACTGTGCCCTCCTGTTGTCCTCCTGGTTTGTTTTGGGCAGATGATTTCAGGACGACCTTCTTCAAGGAGTTAAGTGCTCCTCCCCTCCTCTGTGGCTCCTCCTCTGACCTGGTAACCCTGAGGACCTAGGATATTAAAACTGAGAAAGCAGGGAAGGGAGGAGAAGCCAGCGGTCAAAGGAACAGTATTTACTTGCTCAGAAATGATTTTCTTTCAGCATTTCATGTACTGGTTTAAATGCAGCACTGGTCAGGGGTGTCCTTGGTCTGCTCTCTCGAAGCTCTCAGACCACTCGGGTGTGGGCCTGGAGATGCCCATTCCTTTCCTTTCCACACCTGCACAGGAGCTTCCCCGAGAGGCAGGTCTGTGTGCCCAGCCCCCACTCCACGGCAGATGCAGAGGTACCCACACGTCAGCCCGAGCCAGCACCTCGCAAGTTATTCCCCCCTTCTCTTCATTTTTCCAGATGTTTGGAATCCATTTTGTTTTGCAGTCATTCTGCACCCGGGCCAAACCCATTTCAGTATTGGCTCTGGGCCACCATTTATAATGAAATCCAGATGAGCGTGACTTATGGAAAGTCAGATTCTCATTAGAGGATTTCGGTCCGTAAAATTCTCGTCTGTCATTTACCGTATCTTAGCTGCTGTTCTCCGTGTCTGCCCCACAGTGCTGGGGAACAGAGCCCTTGGTCTGTGGGGTCCCCCTCAAATCCAGGAGGTGTGAACAATTGGGCCGTCCGAGTGGCCAGCCTTCAGGAGAACTCACAGCCCACTGATAACAGCCTGACATGAGCCCAGGCCCCCGGGCCCGGCCCGAGGGACATTTTAGCTCACCTCTTAGCCTTGGCTGGAATCATTTAGGCAACAAGAAAGGTTAGAAAACTAGTCTTGTTTTTTGTTGGGGAAGGGAAATATTTGAAGACGGACCCAGTGGGAAAGGGCCAGAGGGAGATCCGTGTATCCCTCTGAACGCTCAAACTGCCGTCTTTGAGGGTCGCACGCAGGCACCCGGGTCAGGCAGGAGCCCCGGGGCCGCGTCTGCACGCCCGTTTCTAACCTTCCGCTCAGACGATGCGCAGGCCAGGCGAGGAGGGTGGTGCCCTGGGGTTGGCGGCTCTCAACCTGGCGCGGCACACGGCCCTCCAGCTTCAAGTGCTTGGGGCCGAGGCCCTTTGCTGGCCAGAGCCTTTCCCTGGGGCCACTGTGTCACCGCGTGGGACACGCTGCCAGCACACCCAGTCCTGCGCGGCCCGCATCACCGCCGCCTGGCAGCGCTGAACAGCAGCCTGACCGGCGGTGCGGCCCCTTCCCAGAACAGTCTCGCCCTCCTCTGCCTCCTGGGCCAAGGAGAGTAAGGTTTCATCCCTTCCTGTGAGGTGGCCGAGAGCCGGGCCTGGGGCCCGGGCCTCTCACCTCCAGCTGGCACCCGCGCCTCCGGCCTCAGCAGATAGCCTTTTGCTCAGTGGAGGCCTTTGGGAGCTCGCCTGCGAGCTGCGTCATCAGCCAGCCTGAATTTAGACAGAGGGCTTTGGGGAAAAGAAACGTGTGGTGTGCCTTAGTTTTTTCCAGTAATTGTTCCATGGCTCGCTCTGCTCGTAAGATTTTCCAAAATAAGGCCATAGATGGGAATTATATCAGCACATTGGGGACCGACGGCATGTGGACTCTGTCGGCGCTTTGTAAAAAAACACCCCTCAACCAGACAGACGCCCGTCATCGTGGCCTGCCAGGGCTGGAGGCAGGGGAGCTGTGGGTGCCCACTTAGGACAGGGGGCCGAGGAGACCTTTGCTCTGGCTGGAGTTTCTCCATCAGTGGCCCGTCACGGCAACTGGTGGGCTTCTGGGGCACCCTGGAATTTGCCTTCCATGTTTCTCTTTAACGGGGCCACCTCCTTTCCCTTCCTGCTTGGAGTCTGGCAGGCAGTTTCAGCAAGCTGGTGGCACCTTCTCCAGGACAGGGTCTGGCAGGGCAGGCTGTATCTCTGGCTCTGGGAAGAAGACTGTCGCCAGATCAGGAGAAGCCACTCTGATGCATCTGTGTGTGCTACTGGATATTCTAAATGTCCCCCACCCACCCTTTTCTCAAATGTCTTGCAGGAGACAGACTGTGACCAGCACCCCCTGCTGGATTGAGCTGCACCTGAATGGACCTTTGCAGTGGCTTGACAAGGTCCTCACCCAGATGGGCTCCCCTAGCATCCGCTGCTCCAGCGTGTCTTAGGGACACTGCAAGTGAAGGGGGAGGGGAGGGAGGGTAGATTTGGGGAAGAGGGCCATGTAGGAGGTGGAGAAATCAGAACTCAACTCACTGGTGTCAAAGAAGAAATTTTTCTCCCTCAACCAAAGTGGCATCAGCCTGTTTTCCAAAACACGAAAGCAAACCCAGAGGGGGATTTCTATGAACAGCTGTGTCTGCTGAACACATTGGCCCTTCGACCCTGGTCTGAAGGGTAAGAAATGGCTTCTGCTCTGGTGGCGTGAGCAAACAGGTAGTGTTTCACCACCTGCCCCTCCCCTGGTCCCCTTCTTTCTTAAAGAGACAGCAAACTGAGATGTCACTGCCCAACAGGAATTGGCCCGCTGGTTAGGACTGGAGTGTGGACTTCGCCTTGGGTGCTCTGGGCTGGGAGAAGCCTGCAGGGGTCTGAGCACACCTCGGGCCCAGCCCTCCCCTTCCACCGAGTATTCCCAAACCCCGGCAGCAGCAGACCCTGTACCTGAGCGCTGAATTGACTTGGGGCAGGCAAGGGGCTCGTCAGTCTCCACCTCTCTGAGCCTACTGATTGTGTTCAGAAGCGAGCACGTAGGGACCGGTGGGAAGAGGTGGTAAGACACCTCTTCTTTAAAAATGACCTTAAATGTGCCCTCATTTCCAGCAGTTGGCAGGATCTGTTGAGGCTCAGCGCGTATGCGATGTACAGTTTGTATCATGTTAATCTCAAGAGAGATCCGAATTGCGGGAAGTGCTCCCAGGAGGTAGTTGTCTGTGAGGTGTGCGAGGGTCTCCGGTCACCTGTAAGAGCTCGCTCTGCTTTCTCATGCATTTGGCTATATTGGTTGGTATAGTCAGTTGCGTTAATTAAATGACCTTTATTGTATGCTCTTTTAAACATTTGAGTTAAA